AGAGAGAGAGAGAGAGAGAGAGAGAGAGAGAGAGAGAGAGAGAGAGAGAGAATCTTTTCTCACGTACATGAACCATGTTCTCCGCCGTCTTTTGGCAGAATAAGGCCACCTAGAGTGGTAAGGTTGGTGGATAGGTGAGCTTCATTCAAAGGTGTTTGGGTGGGAAATTGACATGTGAAGGAGATGAACTTCATCAAGGGTTCGTGGACAATGCTTGAAACTGTTCCAGTAGGCACAACTGTGCAGATTAAGGCAGGAATATCGTGTTTGGTGAACTGCCGTTTGTTTTCCCTGGCTCACTCTGACAGTTGTATTGATAATGGGGCTGACCTGCAGTCTGAACTTGTGGGCATGCTGGCCAGGCCTTTTTCGTAAGCATCTATTTATACTCTCCTGGTCTTTTCCGCAGTTTCCTCCATCCTGATGCATGAGTTGCAGAGATACGGACTTTAGTGTATGTGTGCTGCAAACTTGCCAGAGTCAACATGTGGTGGATGCCCAGTTGTTGCAAACATGGCCTGTATTTGCAAGCATTGTCTGTATTTGTGATGGGCCCAAAAGCAGGCCCCAGTGGTAAACCTGGCTGTAATGGCGGTTAGGGTTGTTCCTTCATAGCATGAACATAGAAACAGTGGGGCCTGGCTGTTAATATGGTATATCCCTACTGTCTTACCCGAGTAAAATACATTTTCATTATGGCTGTATTTCAGGCAACTTCCAGTTTAATTACAAGTACTATGACCGTGCATTTGTTTTGGGTGATGACGGTAGTGTGCTGATCTAATTTTTTGAAGAGCCTAAGAAATTTGAAATGCTTCTGAAGCGAGAGACACTTCAATACTGCCAGTTGGGGGCACTGAGGAGTGGTTGGGGGCACAAAAAAAAAAGATTGACGCAATCCATAGGGTATGTGTCACATTCAATACTGCCACAAAGCTTTAAGGGTGAGGGTGCTGGCGATATTGTTGTCTAGAGGAAAGATGATCACACAGACAGGATAGTCGATCATGGTGGGGACTGTTGGCTTCTGAGAACGAGGGAAGTGGAAAGCGAGTTGTGATGAAGGACATTGGGGAGGGAACTGTCTTCGTGAATGCACAGTATTCGACACCATGAATAGCATTGCTGGAAAATATCAGGACAGGTAAGTCCAGGGTTTTTTTGCTGAATGGCGTTGAACGGCTGCCCCATCTTGCTTGTTTTTTCCCTTTCTTTTCTTGATTCTCATCTTCAGTGTGCCTCCTCAGGTTCTGGTGCACCGCTAGCATGATTCAAATGAGAGAAACGGGCATGAGACCCGACTTTGGCCCTATCTCAGGGTTGGCAGTCCGGTTCCTGTGCTGTACCAGCAAGTGATATGTGATGGCGTACCATGCAGCTGGTGCAGTACCAAGTCGCGAAATACGATTTTGGGATAGCAACCCAGCTAAGATATTATTTGAAATAAAAAAAAAGAAAAAAAAGAAGAAGAAGATATTATTTGAAATAAAATTTAATAAATTCAAATAATTCGTTTTTTTTTTTTAAGTTTCAAATTTTCATTGCTACATAGTACATACAGAAGGTGCTTTCATCCGATGGAATGTGGCATGGTGCTCGTATTGCTTTGATTGAAGGTGAATCTGAGACTGAACATTGAGGATATGAAAGGATGTTTGCCAGAATGAAAAAAATCAACACCGAAGCTTGGTAAGTTGGATGATCCCTGAACTTTTGTTTCTGGTGTTTGTGCAGATTCTACCTTTGCTGACTCCACTTCGAACGGCAATAGTGAGAAGACAGCTATTTTTCCCAGATCGGCGCCTGCTACAGTTCGACTGTGGGAAACTGCAGGAACTTGCAGTTCTTCTTCGACGTCTGAGGTCGGAAGGCCATCGAGCACTGATTTTCACTCAAGTATGTTTTCATTTGGCATCACTTTATGTTTTGAAATCTAAATTTTGATATGGAGGGGGAACCTATATGTGGAAGCATCGTTTTTGAGTTGCACAAGCACTTCAGAATTGCCTTCTGTGGAAGTCTGCAAACCGATGACTGCAAAGATCCTGGGTTAAGATAACAACAACTAGCATCCTTTGTGAACAGCTGCTGCTGCTTATGTTTGCTGAAAAGCGGTGGCTGACCAGCCTGACATCGGCTTAGCCTGGTATCTTGCTATCGTATAGGTGGACAGACCTCCAGTCAGGATGGACATTGTCTGGTGTAACACCATGTCACATCCTCATCGTTACCTCGAGTCACTTGTTTTTCTTTTTTGTTTTGAAAGACACTGGCCCCCTCTCGGATCTGGCTCCTATTCTGGGAAGCGTCAATCGGGTTCCTGTTCCACCAGCAAGCCAGAAATACATATGCAACCCACTCAAGCGCTTCTCGGCGATACGGCCCAGAAGCTTTGACAGCAATGATTGCTTCCCCTTGGAAGATTTGACTCTGTATGCCCATCCCTTTTTCAGCAGTCTCCCTCCCTTCTATCATGCGAAACCGATCTCCAAGTCACTGTCTTCTCTCCTCCTCTTGTCATTTATTACCGCATCATAGCCAGCAAGCATTTATAACCAGCAAGCATTTAGACCTCTTCGTCAGTTGTTGGCTTGGTGTTGCCCTGGTCTTCCCGAACCATATCACACAATGCTGGGTGGATGTATCTCATTTCTGCTGCTGAATTACAAAGCTTAGCCGCCAACTCGAAGCCGTGTTTCCATCGCCTCTGTGACATACATTTAGATACTATGCGGCGTTCAGTGTCCATTTTATGTGCTGTCACATCACAATCAGATACTGGTTATGCTGCAATGAGCTAGTAGACAGAACCAGTAATGCACATCCAAGCGTTAAATCAAACAGATCACTAATTCAACCGGCAAGTGGAAATGCGAATGAGAGCAAACGCAAAGAAGAATTCTTAATTGTAATAGCAATTAGAGCGTCAATGTCCGTCAGACCCTCTCCAGTTCTTCTCTGGAGTTTTCTCCTATCATTTGTCACCTCCTGTCAATCCTGGGTATGGCAGTCTCTTCTCTCTTGGTCGTGATCTTCTCTCCAATCTATCTACCCTAAGTCGACCGGAAGTCCCTCCTCGCCAGAACTCCCAGAGGTTCAGCGGCAAATGGATGAAGTCTTGATTGTAGTCTGGCAAGTCCCTTGTAGTCTCGGTGATTTCTTTTTCAATGCAGCTATGGCTAGCCGCCAGGTAACCTTCTGTCACCCTCAGGCCTCTTCTCTCCCCCAGATGTCTCCAGTCCTCCTTGCTGTCTTCCCACTGTCTCCTATCTCCACTGCCAACTAGGGTGTCCCCTCCCGTACCACACATAGATATCCCTGCCTGAGCACCAAACTGAGCGCTACGAAGAATGGGTTGCGACTGGACTTGCAGCTGTGGCTATGTGCCCCAGTGGCTGGCTGGGTGACCTCTGGACACAGTTGCCTGGAACTCCGCCGGAAACTTTGCCTGGACCAACAGATCCACGTGCTACCTGTGGCCATAATTGCATTCTGGAGAATTCATTGTGCATGGGTCCTGGAGACCATCTCACGCAAGTGTGTACATGCCATGCATCGTTCTCCCACACACAACGAACAATAGTCTGATAATAGACAAAGGTAGAGAAGATGARAACCGAGTTTCACAGCTTATATTATCAAAAATATGAATACAAAGTGTTTCAAAGTTTCCCTGAGTCCAGCGCTCATCAGCGCAACACCAATATCTTGCCAACTCATCAATATGCCTTCCASTGAATCAGTGCTACCCCTGCAGATAGTCTCCAAGTCATCAATGTGGTTACCACTCATCAATGCCACCTCTGCAGATCACATCCAACTCAGGTAAGTATCTTCCATAGCCAACCTTGAATGAACACTCTCAGCCTCAATCCCTTCCTCTTATGATGCATATACA